GAAACCTTTTCACATTATTCTCATTTTATAAATAAGGAAACAGAAAATCTTAGTTCATGTTTTGCTGCTAGAACCAAATGCTACAGATCGGGCAGTACATATGTGAGGAAAAGAAATATTTCTAACTGTTCTAGAGGCTGAGAAGTCCAGGGTCAGTGTGCTGGCATTTCATGTTATTGTCATATTATCATCCCCTACCCTAGAAGAAGAGGGAAGGACCAGAAAAGGTGAGCGAGCAAGAAAGAAGAGCCTGAGCTTTTCTAAAACAAGTCCATTCTTGGGACAGTTCCTCCAGTCCCATGATATTTGCATTGGGCCATTCATGAGGGCAGAGCTTTCATGACCTATCCACCTTTCTTTGGTCCTGCCTCCCAGCACTTGCATTGAGGATGAAGTTTCCAACATAGGAATTTTGGGAGATACATTGGAACCTTAGCATGGAGTCTCAGCTCAATATCTTACAAAGTAAGAAGTGACTGAAATGAGATTAGAAGCCAGAAGCTGTGTGTGTGTGTGTGTGTGTGTGTGTGTGTGTGTGTGTGTGCATGCAATAATCTTGAGTTTGGCTTGTGAACTTCCACTGGACACACCTGTTTAGCCATCACTCAGACCAAGAAAGAATGCTCTCACCTTTATAGAAGGTTCTCTGCTGCTCCTTCCCATTAGTAATGATTCCACCATGAGGTAAATTACTATTCTGATACTTATTACCTGGACAAATTTAGATTATTTTTCAGTTTCACATAAATGGAATTGCATAGTAAGTTTACTTTTCTGTCTGCTTTCTTTGTTCAAGATAATGCCTAAGGGATTCATTCATGTTGCTATATTAGTAGCTTGGTTTTATAATTATTGTGTATACTCCATTGTATAAATATACAGCAGTTTATCTGTTCTTCTCTTGAGGGATACTTGTGTTGCATGGTTATAGAAAAGCTATCCATATTCTTGAAATGTCCTTAGGTGGGTATATGATCTTATTTCTCTTGGTATATATGTAGAAGAATTTCTGGGCCATAGATAGGGTAAATGTTTAAAGTTAGTAGATATGAGCTATAATTGACTGAATGTTGTGTCCCTCTAAAATTCATTTGTTGGAACTTAATCTCCAAAAATAGAGGTGATTTTTTTTAGGAGGTTTATTGAGCCATGAGGATGGTTTGGATCTAGAATGTCCCCAAAGGCTAATGCGTTCAGAGGCTGGGCTTTTGCAAGGATATCAGATCATGGAGGTGTTCTACTTATCAGTGGATTCATTCACTGCAAAGTTCAGACCGTAATGTCTTAGTAGGAGGTGGGGTCTGATCAGAAGAGCGGCTCACTGGGTGCATGACTTGGAAGAGTACATCTTCCTCCTGGCTCCTCCCTTCACTTCTTGCTTGCTGGGGTCAGTACTACCCTTACAAGATGCATGATTTAACTTAACTCCCATTTTACAAAAGAGGGACTCGTTGCCTTGGGAAAGGAAGAATTAACTGCTGGAATAGATAGAGATTTATAGGTGAAATATGGGCAAGAGCCACAATCTCCTGACTCCTTAATCTGAATCGGGATTTTGTCCCAATTGGAGCTGGGGCTTGGAGTCAAGTAGATGTGGATTCAAATCTTGACTCTAATCTTGGACAGATTACTTCCTCTTTCTGACTATTTATCATTTGCAAAAAAATTGAGGTTAGAACTAACACTTACCTGGAAGGATTAAGAGAGAATATCACTATGAAATCGAGACACACAGTGAGTTCTCTGTGTGAGTAAGTGGTAGACATTATCACAGTGTTTATTGCCCTTAAGGCTCATTTACTTAAATGCCAACAGAAAGTCTCCCATCATAGCCCCGGAGAACTTCCCCTTCGCATTTTTCTCTGAAGTGAAGCACTTGTTGATTTTATCATGCTTCAGTCCGGTTGCAGGGTCAACTGTTCTAAGTACCCTCAGGTTGCAGGGAGTCCCGCCTGAAATCAGGTCTGATAGACATTGTCTTGGTTTGGGTTCTTCAAAGGCCGAACCTGAGACAAATACTTGAATGCAAACGCTACGTTTGAGAGGTGTATCTGCTATCAAGTTTTTCCCTCCCAGATCAAATGTACCCTTTTACAGGCTCTGCGATGAAAGGATTGAAGTAGGTATTTCTCTCTTAAAGCCAGCATGACTGTGGGCAGTAGAGGGCGCTGGAGGATATTGCAGCTGCGGGAAGGCTCGGCTATTTCCAAGTGGAGGGAGGCTCCGTGGTGTGAGAGGCAGAAGGCCGACCCCAAAGTGCTTGTTCTACGCCATTGTGGCCTTGACCTCGTGCAACTTTTATGCAGCCCCCTCGATCGATCTGGAAACAGCAGCCAGCACAGGCTGCGCGCCCCCAGGGGTTGCCTGTGAGCCCCTCTCCTGGCTGCTGATCTTGCTGTCGCTGCCGTGCGGTGGGTGGCCCTCCGCCCCTCTGCACGCTCCGGCCAGAGTGTAACCTGCTCTTGGCTTGTAGGTTTGAAGTTGAGTCGCGGCCCCTGGAGCATCCTGCAGCCCTCTCCCTGAGAAGGGCGCCCCCTCCAACCTGCTGGACGACCCCGCACTACCAGCGGCTGACTGCTGAGCGGGCTGTTCCCAGTCATTCCAGGCCTCCTCGGCAGGGCTAACGCGCTGACTTTTCTACAGAACCGCACATTTTCCCAAGAGGTCTGAATCCTTCTCACGGTTCTTTTGCTGGGTACCCTTTCTCAGCCTGGGGGCATTTTCTGGAGTTTCCTTTGGTTTCAGTTAGTTACTCTTTATCATAGCTAACGATTCTTTGCACTGAACTTCTTTTAAGCTTACTGTGTGTTTTCTGTCTTAGTGGGACCAACACTGTCCTAGGAGACATCCCGGGAAGATAATGAGAGAAAAAGAGGAATCCCACAAGCAGCGTGCGAATATTGGGTCCCTATGGTGCTGTCATCTTGGGCTCAATTCCATGGGTGTCCCTCAGAGTCTTGGAGTTACACACAGTGGCATTGCCCCAGCAAGGGGCAAATAGGGCCCATATTTACCACCGACTACCTGCTTGAGGGTGTAAGTCCCTGTGTTTTCTGTCCTGCCCTGCCTGTCTGTACTTCTATCTTCCTGCCTAAAATACTGCTGAGGCAAGACAGCCTCCAGGCAAAGACAGGGGCTCTTGGCCTAAGGTGTCTGTGTGCGTGGGAGTCCCTCACTGGAGCTGCAGAGCCTCTGGTGTGGCCAGGGGGATGCTGGCGGGCGAGGATGAGTTGGCTACACAGGGCTGCAGGATGCTCGGTGGCAGAAAGAAAACCGGTCAGCCGGATGCTGGTGAATGGCTCAGAACGATTCGAGGGTGAAGTTTCCGGAAAAATCAGTTGCAGAAGATCAAATGTTTTCCTGACTGGTGTAATTTAATTGTACGGTCGGTGTTTGCTATGGATAATTGGATTTTTCTTTGACCTTGACAGTCTTGCTGGCTCACTGTCTGCATTGGAAGACAGTTTCCTAACTCTCTCAAATACAATAAGCCAGACCTGGCTTCCATCAAGGGCTGGCAGGCCTGCTGTTTCCAGGGGATGCTGATGGCAGGGGTATCCAACCAGCACAAAGTCACAAAGTCAGTGGTTGTTTTGCCCTTTACAAGAACATTTCAGCTGAAGCAAAAGCCTTTTTTCCCTTCAGCCTGGGCTTTTCAATAGAAATCTTGATGGCATTAAGCTGTTTTAATTCTGAGCAGTAGCCTCAAAGGTCAGTGACATCAAAGCTCAGTTCTGCTCTGCAACACAGAGGATATCGTGGAGAGAGGTTTGAATCCACAGGGACACCTAAGGAAAATAGATAGAAGACAAGGTCATTCCACAGGGGCCATTTTGCATACCAAGTTAGGGAGGTGGGAGAAAGGGTAAAGGCAAACACGGGGAGCATGTATCTGGGGGTAATGTGGACAGAGGAGGTTACTTCTACCTTAGGGTGTTAAAATCATTCACATTTTGAAATATTTTAAATAATTTACATGGTTTCCCAAGTGGAGATGTTTTCTTTCCACATTTAACATACTTAGTGAAGAAAGAACAAGAGACTTAAGCTGCCCTAAAATGGAAAGGTCTCAGATATATTGTCGAGTGACACCAGCAAGAGCAAGAACAGCATTGAGTAACTAACTCTTTTTTTTTTTTTGGTACTGGGGATTGAACTCAGGGCCTTGTGATTTTGAGGCAGGTGCCGGAACCACTGAGCTAAATCCCTGGCCTGAGTAACTAACTAACGCTTGTGTAAGGGGGCAGGAGAGGGTGAAGGCTACACAGTGAACACTTGCTTGTATGAAGATGAAAGCCTAATGAAAGTATTTGTGTACGGGGCAGGAGGGCAGAAGCAAGACTTTTCCAATCAGACACTTCTATCACTTTGATTTTAAAATTTCATCGATGTATTTCCTGTTCAAATAAAGAAATAATAAAATGCTCAGTAAAGAGCATAATCTTTGTAATAATGTACCGTCATTCTCAAAGTCTTCAAAAGTTGCTTTGGATGAGAAAATGCATTCCAGAAAATTTAAATACTTGCACATAGGGAATGGTTTGCAAACGTTTTATTTTTTTGGAGGGTGGCGCTTAGTGTTTTATAGGATCAAGGAAAGAATGTTTTGTCTCTGTACTGCTATTCACTATCAAAGCAGCAGGGGGAGGTGTTTCTCTGTTTATCTTTGCACTTTCCCCCACTTCCTCAGTTTGGTGTGCAAAATGGACCAGGAGTCCTTTAATTCAAATGTATGCATAAAATACACCACATTTGCTAGATGCATGTTTTTACTCTCTTATCCCCAAAATCTTTAGGGGACTTGGAGCTTCCAGCAGGCTGTTAATGATTATTCAAAAGGGTCTGATTATTGGGTTTGCTGGTGTAAAGTCCTTCTTTTCCTCTTCTCTCTGCCCCTCCTTGTCATTCCACTCAGCTCCCATACATCACTTGCCATAATCAAGTCATAGAAAACAAAAGTTAAATTATGGAAATTCACAGCTCATTTTTCCATTTTGCAGATGAGACTCAGGATTTGGAAAGCAAAACAAACAACGGAACAAACAAAATGAGTAGATTTTAGACCTCCATGAATGCTTCCAAAGTGAACAAAAAGAAGGTGAAAGGGGAGGAGACCAGGTGTCAAGTGAGTGTTTATCTGTGTGACCTGTCTGTCCCTGGCACGACTCCTTAGGTCCTTAGCACTGTGGTGGGCTGAGGGTCTCTAGAACCATTTTGCTAAGGAGAGCGAAACTCAGAGGGACTGAGTAGCTTGACCAACTTCATGTTGCTGGAAAATGATAGAATGGGAATTGAGACCCAGGCTGGACCCGAAGAGAAATCGCTTTGCTATTTTCTCCCTACGCCCTGCTGAATGGATGTGGCCTCTCATCCCCTTCCTCCAGCAGTCTCTGTAGCTGCTCTCAAACGGGCGTCACACCGCTCCATGCTCCCCTGGTGACCACAAAGAGTGGGAAGGAAGAAAGGGAAGCCACTGAGGAACTCTCTCCAAGTTCAGCGGAAGATGTACTTTGTTGTCTGTGGGCAGTGATTCCTTTAGAGAAAGCGGTAGCGTAGACCAGCCCGAGGTCAGGGATTCCTGGAGCTGTGGACTTGAAGTGCCAGGGAAAGCACTGTGCTGTTTTACAAACTGCTTTGGAGCATCTTGTGCTTCAGAGTGTGTGTGTTTCGAGGATTCTGCCACCCCACCCCTCCTGCAGTGACCCCCGGGTAAGGTGATGACAAAGGTTGGGAAGGTGGCGGTTTGGGGCACTGGAGGGACTAATTTCAATAGTGAACCTAAAAACCAGTGGTGAAGACTTTTCACTAAAGTGAAGTTGTGCGTGATCTTGGGTGGCCTCAGCCTCTGTACTACATAACGTCACCATTTAAAGGGAGGCTGTGGCCTTTTTCCATTCTGGCAGGGCAAAGAGTCAGTCTTCTGGCCTGACATCAGCACCTCTTTTGCTGTTATTTCAACAGGAAAGGAGAAGAGCCCAGTGTGGACCCATGGCAGGCACAAGTCCCCAGCTAGAATTTTCTTAGCTCATTTTATTTTCCTTTACCTATGATTATATTTGTAGCAAATGATTAAGATTTTCTGTTTATGTTAGTGACAAAGCATCCCATTTAAATCCATATATTTTTTAAAAGTGAATTTAAGAATAATAGTTGAATGCAAATAGAGTGGTATATAGATGTGACAAAAATGATGAAGGTGGCACTAAACAAGAAAAATGGGACTACTGTAGTGGATTTCTAAATATGTCTTTCACCTCAGACAATCTAAAATTCCGACTCCATCATTTGGGAATCACTGGAAAACTTGGGATATTATAATTTTAGAAAAGAATGATAAAGCCCTTTCTCCTCAATTTACAGTTGATGAAATGGAAGTTTAGAATGACGTGACTGGCCTTGTTGGGGGAGAGAGAGAGAGAGAGAGAGAGAGAGAGAGAGAGAGAGAGAGAGAGAGATAGTGTCATGGATGGGGAGAAGGGCCGGGCAGCACAATGGCCTAGACACTGAGCTGCCTAGAACTTAAGTAACTCTGGTTATGGTGATCTTGGTGATGTAGAGGGCAGGAAGGAGGAGGAGTGGGAAAAGGGAAACAATGTCTGTAGAAATGAGGACTCCGAGACAATTGGGGGAGAGGGGGTGTCCTTGAAATCTCAGTTCCCAGCACACCCTGCAGCGGCCAGGGAAAGAGCTGGCTGGTTGCCCCCAATAAATGCAGCGGTAGATTTTTGCCATGAAATGTGGCATTAAATATGAGAGGTCAGCATTAAGCTTGAACAAAATGTGATGACTGATTAGGAAATGAATGGGAAGTCATGGACGACAAATCCCAACTGTGGGGATGGTTATCAGCGCCCCCATCGGAACAAACAAATCTGCAAGCTGTACTTGCAGGCTGACGAAACGGGCCCAGATGGCCTGGTCCGGGGACAATTTAATCTGGTCATCTATGAGGAAATGAGGAATCTATGAGGAAATCAGATGTCATGGGGGAAAGGATCCAGCCATACTGAGGGCTTGCTCTGGGGGGCTGGTCACCTCTCTGGCTCCTCTTCCCCCATGTCTGCTTTGAGCTTGGCTTTCCCATGGCCTAGCAAGCTTGCAAATGTGGGATGATACAGGGATAATACAGCTCCTCTTTGTGGATGGGGCCAGGGAGCCCAGTGTATGGCTCAGAGAAGAACTTAATACGTATTTGTGAAATAGATGACCAGAGGATTGGATAAAGCAATGGTCCGTGCATGATGGTTGGTATAGAGCCAGAATGTGATAAATGATTAATGTCCAATTCACCCCCATTCCTCTAGAGACAACCTACCGGATTCTTTTCAGTGTCACTATTTCTTTATGCCTAAAATTCAGGTAAGAGACTGTGTCCTACAAATGTGTTCTTGGTATACGGGAGATAATGTGTCTAGCGAGCATGATGGTTGCTTGTTTACACATTAAGTCATTCACTCATTAAATCATTTACTAATTCTTCCAATGGATATTTGTTATTGTTGATACAGTAAGTGGGAATGTAACTGAGGCGCCTCTTGCAATCTAGTGGAGAAGTCAGATAATAAACATGCAAGTCAATAAATAACCAAGATAATACTCTCCAGATAGTAAACATGCTAAAATGAAATAGTGATTCGATGATAATAATATTGGTAAAAACTAACATCTACTAAATACTATGCATCACACACTGTTTTAGATACTTATCTGTATTAGATCCTTGCCATCATCTGAGAAGAGAAGTATAATTATTATCTTCCATTTTAGAAAGGGAAACTAACATACAGAGCTAGAAAGCAGTGATGGGGGAAGGCCTGTTTTTGACAGCGTGGTCAAAAAAAACATTCGTGGGAGGTGACATTTAAAGAGGTGCCAGGAATGTACATTTGCTGTCTATCTCTAAAAGCCGTGCTTCGTTTTCTACTTACCCCACCTTTGCACCATCATAGTTGGGAGCTACCATGTTGCTCATTGTCATTGGGACCGCCGTCAACCTGGGTGCCCTTCCTATAGCTGCAGAGATGTGACAGAGCCTGGAAGTGACAGACAGGTTGGCTAAATTCATTTGACCCACTTACTTCCCAGTTGACTTTCCTAGGATGGGTTATTGGTGTCCTCTGAATTGGAGGGACAAGAGGTAGTGGCCTGCCACTATGAGCATTTACCCGTGGAGAGGCTGCTTATGTTTTCTATGTTCCCCTAAACACTGTCATGTTCTTAAAATGGGAATGGGACAGGAAATGACCCAATCTTGGCAGAAGAAATGAGAAAAATCTCATCTATGCACGGAGCACAATAAGCTTCACAGCCTTTTACCTCCAATATCCCACCTGGGTCCTCCAACAACCTTATGAAATGGATATTGTTATGCACAACTGAAATATCACAGAAACAGAGGCTGAGCTGCTATGGAAGTGTAGTGGAGGTCATACAGCTTGTTGAGGACAAAGCTAGCGCGTGAGTTTGTTGGTATCTGTAGGCTATAGGAATGTTTTTCTTGGAAAGCAATCACCACCACAACTATTTATCATTATAATTTATCCTGCATCAATATCTAAGTCTTTTCTGGCCACTGTAATGAAAAACACAGACTGGGCTATATATAAACAACAGAAATTTCTCAGTCAGAGGCTGGAAAGTCCAAGATCAAGGAGCTGAGTGATTTGGAGCTGATGAGGCTTGTTCTCTGATGGTGTCTGTTTATGGCTTATATCTGAATGTCCTTCCAAAGCTTCATGAGCTTATAGGTGGGGATTTGGGGGGTGATTGGATCATGGGGGTGTGATGCTTTACAGCTAAATGTGATGTGGGGAGGTGAAGCCTAGTCTGAGGAGGTGGGCTACTACGTGCGGCCTAGAATAGTGTCTCTCCCTCCCCATCCCTTGATCTCTCTCTGCCTCCCCCTGCCATGCCAGGAGCTCTTTCTCCTCTCCCATGCCCCTCTGCCATTCCACCCTGCCTTGGAGCCAGATGACTATAAACTGAAACGTCTACAAACTGTGAGCCAGAATAAACCTTTCCTCCTTAGAGTTGTGGGTGTCAGGTATTGTGTCTCAGCCACAAGAGAAGTAACTGAGACAACATCTCACTGCGTCCTCATATGATGGAAGATGTGAAAGATCTCCCTAGGGCCTCTTTAATGAGGGTACCAATCTCATTCATGAGGTTCCTTTGTCACCACTCAAAGGCACCACCTCCTAATACCATCACTTTGTGGGGCTAGGATTTCACCATGTGAAGTTTTAATTTCATGTCATAGCATCCTGTCCTGCATTCCCCAAAACTCATGTCATTCTCACATGCAGAATATACTCAGTTCCACCCCAATAGTCTCCTAAGTCCTCACGCATTCTACCTTTAATTTTATAGTTTGAATCCAACCCACAGTGTCATCTAAATATAGTTAGATATTGGATATGGGTGAGACTCGGGATAGATTCACTCAGACAAATTTCTCATTAGCTATGATCCTGTGACATCAAACAACTTGTGTGCTTCCAAAATACAATGATAGAATGGCATAGGATGGACACTCCCATTCCAAAGAGAAAAATTGGGAAGAAGGAGGAAGTGACAGGCCCCAGTGAGGCTAAAGCCTTTGGAACTGAGAATAATTCACTCAAGTCCTGGTGGGATGGTTGTCCTAGCTCCCCGGCTTTGGGAACCCTGATTCATGGATCTGCTGAGCAGTGACAGTAGGGGCTCTCTCTGTTGGCCTCACCCTCACAGCAGCCCTCAGCCTGGCTCTTGTGCCTGAGGATGGGCTGCTCCATTCTTCTGAACCCAAGCGAGAGTGGCCACACCCCATGGCTTATGCACTCTAAGTACTGGTGAAGATGGCTCCTCATGGACACTGCCAACTTCTATCACCTGTGCCTTCCAGAGGATGGCTTTATGGCCCATGCTGCAGCTGGGCTGATTGGAGCCACACCTGGGGTGGCTGAGATATGTTGCCCTTGAATGTGGGAAACGCAGCCTTGAGGAGAAGCCAGTGCTGGACTCCTATTGGTTCCTGTGTCCCTTTCTGTGAAGTTGTTCTGTCCTCCAGGTGTTAGAGCTCTGAGTTTAGGAAAGGAGGGACAGCCCTGAAAAAACTTTGAAACTCCTTTGGGTTGCTCTTCCATT